CAGAGGTCGAAGAGAGGAACCTTCAGCTAAACCAAGTACAGAGTTCACCACAAACGGAGAGAAATCAACCACACTATTACGCACAAACACTTTCTGAAACTTCTTTGAGGACGGATCAACGACAGAGGTAGTCAGGTTCGAATAAAATTCACCAACAAGTCGGGGACAATACTTCCCAACAGACGTGACTGAACCCTCAAGACCCACTTTCTTCAGAAGTTCAAGCAACCCAAGTTGTTCATAATGTTCACTATCAATCGTCCTCTCAAGACGAAACTTCATTTGAGAAAAGATGGTAGAAAAACGTGTTTCAGCCAAAGGAGAATAAAACTTACGGGAGAAAGCATTACCAACAGTAAGAGGACTGTCTGGCCCATCACCCTCGACTTCAGCAACGATTTTTTCTTTCTCAAGAGGAGAAAGTTCCTTGACCGCAGCATGTTTGTTGTCTGATTTCTCAGGTTCAGCAACATAGTTGGTAACCTCACGTTCAACAGAATCAGCATCAGAATCCGGAGAGGACTCTTCTCCAGATTTTGTGTGAGAGGGAGTACCATTAGCAGGTTCAGGCACATGAACGACCTTTTTTTGCCTTTTTGGTTTTTGGTGCAGTAGTTTCAGCGACCTTCTTGCGCTTCTTTGTAGATTTGACGACAGAGGGAGAACCTTTTTCTCCTTTTTCACTGGGGTTGGCAACCTCTGGTTGAGAAACCTCCGTTGTTGAGGATTTTTTAGGGCTTGGAGAAACCCTAGTTGTGGATTTAACAGGAGGTTGAATGTTCTCGGTTGCCATGGTTGAGGGATTTGGATCTGGTGGAGTATCGGAACTTTGGCTTTGACGAGTTGAGTGCCGAGATGGAGGAGGAACATCCTTCTTCGGCTTCACGGTGCCCTGCTTGGATTTAGGCATTGTCGAGAAATAGAGATTCTCTTGAAGAAGGAATATTAGAGCAGTTGGAAGAGATAACAAAAATAAAAGATTGAAATAGATAAGAGAGAGATGCAAAAGGTGGTATGATTGATATAGGAAACCGAAATTTCAGTTATCGAGGTGGGTTTGAAGACGGTTCGGCTCGGCAGATTTGAAATTCAAAATTTGACCAACACTTAGTTCAACTAAAAAACCGTTCCCTCCAAAACTAAAAGGATTTGTTACCAAGTTTTGTAACAGGGTTACCATATATATACCGCATGAAGTTTCAGACGAGAATATTATCAAATCACGTACCAAAAATAATTTAGGCACAAAACCGAAACAATGTATGTCACAAAGAGAATCCTGATGCACATGCCTAAATAAGATATTTAACACGTAATACCCTAGAATTTTCTTTTCACGCAATATTGAAAAAATCCATTCATTGATTGACCCACAAATCTTCCCAAATCAATTTGAGACGAGCTCGACACTAACAAGATGATGAGAAAAATAAATTCTTTTCGTGCACAACTCAGCCCTTATTGCTCCCACTTTTATACAACACGGAATTAATATAAGTTCGTTCACCACTTTCTCTTAGCAAAAAACAAAATTTTCGTTCGCAATTCAGCCCCAATACTTATGATGAACTTACTTCGTTCTATGAACTTCCACACCAGTTCACTTACTAACATCAACTATACGCCAATGTCAAGCCCATTACTTGAGGTGTGAATCATCCCGCAAAAAGTTTTAATTTTGAACAAGCTGAGAAGATATCAGGATGGCCAACCTTATTTCACCAGAGAACGTTCATTCTTAGAATGTTTACCTGTAGCTATCACACCTCGATTATTATTAGACACGTAACTCGTTTCACAGGTGATCAAGGAAGCACCTAATGTGATAGTTTCCCGACGCCTATTTTCACGAGAGCAGCTCTTACAAGTATATTAAAATGGTCATCATGACGAGCTCTTACAAACTGACCAGTTAGAATTCACAGACCACCAATCAACAAACTCAACAA